ACAGCGGGTCGACCGAGCCCTCGGCCCCCGCCCCTACGCCGTCGCCACCGCCGGTGCCGCTGCCGCTGCTGGCCGGATCAGACAGCCCTTCGCCTGTGCTGCTGCCGGAGCCGCCGCTGGCGCCGCCGGCGCCGCTGCCATGCGCTCGCCGCAGGGGGACGTTGAGCGGGTTGCCGCCGCCCGCCTCGATCTCGGCCGCTTTCTTCTTCGGGTCGATTATCAACTCCTGTTTGTTGGGAGGCACACGAACCGCGCATTTCATGCAAACCGGTGCCGTTTCCGAGGATCACCCATGAGAGCCGCAGGCCCGCGCAGCAGGTGATGAAGCCGGCAAACGCCGGGCTGCCTGTGCGCATCCGAGTCCGCCTGCTTGCCCTTGCCGCGCCGCTCAATCATGCCGCTGGCAGACCGCTCCTCTGCCCAGCCGCCTGCCCTCCGCATCCAATACCCGACCACCACCGTCAGTGGTGGTCACCACTGACGGTGGTGACCACCTTTCTACACAACAACCACACCACCATCGCACCGCCACGGCCACCCCTGCCACATCTCCCCCCCCATCATATCACCGCCATCACCGCCATCATCGCCCCAACCACTGCCAACATCACCACAACCACTGTCACCACCGCCACCACCGCCACCACCGCCACCGCTGCCGGCGCCCATGTCAAAACGCACCTCGCAGAACAGCAGGTACTGCGTCCGCTTGCGCGCCAGCAGCTCGTCCCAGCCCGAGGGGTCCGGCGGCAGGTAGCCGAGCAGCACCTGCGGGGAAGCCGCCCGCACGGGGAGCCGCGCTCTCGCTTGCGACGCGGCACTGAGGCCGCGGGGTACGAACACTCGGAGCATTGCACAGGTGCGTGAGAGGCGCAGCCCTTGCTGCCACGTGTTGCGTTGAGAGCGTCCGCATGCTGCCGCCGCGTGCATGGCGGAGGGGGCGGCGGGGGCGGGCGAGCGCGGACCTTCCAAGTGATGGCGCGGAGCCCGTCTCGGTCGGGGATGCCACCAAACGCCAGCGCCCGCAGCCGCGGCAGGTCGATGCGGCTGGCCAGCAGCTCCGCCTTGAACCGCGAGACGCGCTCGTCCGTCGCCGCCGCGCCGCCGCGGGCGGCGGGCTGCCTGGGGTTGCTGCTGGCGCCAGAGGCGCCAGAGGCGCCAGAGGCGGTGCGCTGCAGCGGGGCGCCGGACGAGGAGGGCTGGCCTGCGGCGGTCAGTACGTCTGGAAGCCGCAAGTTGAGCTCCTTGATGTCTTTGGACAGGTTGGCTATGAGGCCCTTGGCGGCCTGCGCATATTGCTGCATCGCTGGCCGCGCCGCAGTGCGCGGCGCGACCTGGACGGACCCCCCGCTCTGGAAGCCAACTCTCACGGAAAGAAGGGCTGTGAGATAAACCTGCTGAATGAGCGTCACTGTTGAAATTTGTGGGCTGTTTAGAGCGAGAGCCGTTCACTTCAGTTGCACATGCGGGGTGATCTATGCTTTCAAATCGGCGAATTCACATTTGATACAATGTACTTGTGATCCATCTCAAACCTTGTGTATGTCTCGTGTTTGCAGGGCATGCGTTCGAACTGGGCCGAATCCGCGCCAATCAAGCTGAAGCATCACGATCTGGCGCGCCTGGCCACATCGCTAGGCCTCATCACGTCCCGGTACAAGTTAAGTTGATTGCTGCATTCAACTGCCCAGTGGACAGCCTGCGGCGTCGAGGCGACGATCGCAGAGCGCCGCAGCGCAGCATTGCAGCGGGGCCGCGTCAGGCGAGGTGTCGCCCACGATGAACCGGCGGCTGCAAGGTATGCGTGCTTTTTGGCGCCGCAGCCGGCCGGGCCGCCGCTCATTTTTCAGTGCCCGACGAGGCACTGCAGTTCCAACTGGGCTCCCTCACGCTACCCAGCACAACTGCCCTCCTCTGCCTTCACCGTGCCCCCTCACAACCCCCTCCCCTCCCCGCACCCCCAAAACTCGCCTCCTTGCCCCTGCATGAGCAGACCACTTCCACCATCAGCAGGCGTTTGAGCTGCCAGAGGCGATAGAGGATTACTTTGATGAGCACCAGGCCCAGCACGGCGCCGCGTGCTGCCTGGCGTTCAACCGCCATGGCACGCTGCTGGCAGGTAGATGTTGGGCTCCCCCCCTGCAGCAGACCCCCGGCACCTCTGCCTGCCGGCCATGCAGCCTGCAGCTGTGCACCCTTTTAAGGAAATGTTGGCATGGCAGCAGAGCCCAAAGTTGGTGTGATGCACTCATGCGCAGCCCCTCCATGTTTGCGCCACGCTGGCGCGCCGCGCCCCGCTCCCCGCCGCAGCCGGGACCGAGAATGGCCGCGTGGTGATCTGGGATTTTGAGACCCGAGGGGTCGCCAAAGTGCTCGGATGGGCGGGCGCCGCCGCCTACGAAAAGGAACACGGCGACGCCGATGGCGGCGCGGCGGCGGGGGCAACGGCCACGGCGGCGGCAGCTTCCGGGGCTGGCGTCACTGCGGTGGCGTGGTCGCGCAGCGGGCGGCGGCTGTTGGCTGGCGATGCAGAGGGAAAGGTGGTGCTGTGGGACGTCGTGGCAGGCACCAAGGTGCGCGTGCATGCGGTCGCCTGACTCAGGGCATGGGCAGGCACAAGGCAGCCCACCTTGCGCAGCCCATGCATGGGCAAGCATCAGCTGGCTGCCCACGCGCGAGGCGCCCGGCACTGGCCGGACCATGCTGCTATCCATGCCTGTGATTGCTCGCCCCTCACGCTCGCCCCTTCGCGCCGCCGGGCCCTCCTTATGCCGCAGCTCTTTCAAACGTCCCTTGGCGGCGGCGCCGTGGCGTCGGCCTGCCTCTCCCCTCGAGAGCCCCACACCGCGCTCGCCTGCCTCGAGGCCGGCCCGCCCGTCCTCATCGACGTTCCCTCCGGTGCAACCCGCAGCCTGCCCCTTATAGAGCTCACGGGTGGTACCGGAGGCCGCCCCTATGAAG